TCCTCTGCCCCACAGCTTGCCTTCATCGTTCTAGAGAACTCTGAGCTGTTTTCCCTCTGGCCCCATGTACTGTGGCAAACACACAACTGTGCAATTCCAAAGAAATCACCTCCCAATTTCAAATCTGCCAAAATCAAAACAGCAGATCCAATTCCAAGTTGAAGATTTCGTGAGCTTTTATAGTTTCTGTGAATTTAGTAGCTTGAAAAAAAAATCATGTAAAAAAATCATTCTCGAATTTTCAAGCACTACAGTCCTTATTTTTAGCTGTTTAGAATAATTTTATTATTAGAAATTTAGAGTCCCAAATTAGAAAGCTCATTAGCATGGTTCAAGTATTTTCCTTACAAAAACACCTAAATGTCTTTATGATAATATCACCTTTTACTGCTGAAAATCCAACTGTGTGGCCAGAAGGAAAAATCTCTACACGAGCAGCCATGTTGGCTAAAATTTCTTTTGCCTCAAATGCAAGGGCTGTGAACCAAAATAGTCTAGTCTCCTGGTGCATTGAAGATGAACAGAATTAGTTTATAAAGAGTATTCCAACTGGCTGTCTGGGATTTTGCTAACTGCAATTACAAAGGAAGACAGAGGGAAGGAAGGCGAATTTTCTTTTATGTGTTGAAACAATGCGTATTAAATATTATGTATATTCAGGATAAGAGAAAGGCATTAAATTCTCCCAATCACTATAACTGAATATCTGCTACATGTTAGGCACTGTGATGGGAGCTTTGAGGAATAATACAAAGATGCAAGAGAACTCAGTCTTGCTGATCAGAGTCTTATAATCAACTCGCGAAAACATGGGAACATGTAACGACAGCAAAGGCAATATAAAGGGAGGGCTTTTTAAAGGATATTAAGCAAGTGCTTTCACATTCAGTTCAAGGAGAGGTTATTTCTACCTGTGCTGAGACATGAAGATATTTTGGAAAGGAGTAGCTTTTGAGCTGAGCCTCAGGTGAACTGATAAAATCTTGATAAAAATGGTTCAAATGTGTCCGTTCAAGTGTGCCGTGTATAAAAGAAATGCAAAACTATGATGATAAAATTGTACTAGGCATGTTTGGGAAAAGCAAGTAGACCTATTTGACTGAAGTGGAAAGTTCAAATGGGAAAGTAGTGAGAGAAAACCCTGGAATGATAGAGTAATTAAACCCACATCGTGCAGGACTCTGATGCTCAATCTACAGGCTAGTATTTCTCAGAGGTTTCTTTTTGCTTTTTATAATTTGTTCTTTTATTTCTTACTTAACAGGTAAGTCTTTTTAAATCTAATTTTTATTTTGTCAAAGCTATGCATATATAGTTTTTATTATTTTTTTTTTATTTTGTTGAGGTCACATTGGTTTATAACATTGTGTAAATTTCAGGTGTAAATCATTATATTTTGACTTCTGTGTAGACTGCATCGTGTTTACCACCAAAAGTCTAGTTTCCATCTGTCACCATACACATGTGCCCCTTTACCCCTTTGGCCCTCTCCCCACCCTCTTCCTCTCTGGTAACCATCAATCTGTTCTCCTTATCTATGTGTTTGTTTTTTATTTAAACTCATTATGCCAATATTACATTGGGGTGTTAAAATTAAGACTCCTGGGCCTCACTTTGGATCAGAATTGAAGGGCAGGTGCTGAAATCTGCATTTTAGTAGTCTTCCTAAGTGATTCCAATGCACACTAAAATTGGAGACCATTTGCTATGGAAACAGCCATCGGGAAGGTGGTTATGAGCGCTTTGGGGCAGGAGAATGGCAGGGAGGAGGTGAACTGAGGGTTTGAACTCTGGTGGTAAAGTGGGCATTTGGAGGTGACAGCAGGAGCGGGAGCTTGTGAATGAAGGAGGAGTCTGTGGGATGTAGTGACTGGTAGTTATGGGTGGTCAGGGGAAGGAGCAGTCAGATGTTGCCTTCAGGACTCTGAGCTTCTGTGACCAGGGAGACTGGGGTGCCGCCAGCAGAAATGTGCATAATACATGAATTTCCCTGAGCACCCACAGGGTCACTCTGAACCTCTAGCCCTCGGAGAAACTGTTTTACTCCCACCTCTAACAGCAATGCCCACACACAATACTTGTGGAGTTTTCAAAGGGAATCTCACATGTGCTCATGATCCAATCTGAGCCCCCTAGAGCCATGGTTGCTCTCTCTGATGCCGTGGTGTCAGGATGGTTACTGGGTCCCTTGTTCTTTGCCCAGGCTGTGACCTTGAGCACCTGGGTCTTGCCTGCTGCCCTCCAGGCCCTGCAGCTCCCAGATACCGGCAGTAATGGCCGCCCCCCACCCCCAGCTGGTCTAGGACATGCTGTTATTGCTCTGAGTACCGCAGTCCCTGCTGGGCATCAGCACCCTTCCCCACTGATCTGCGTGTTGCCAGCCTCTCTCCCCCTGCCTCACCTGTGCCCACAACTCTGATTCAAGGGCGATAGCGAACGATACAGATGCTCTGCTTTTGTCCTGCCAGGTGGCATCATAAAGTGGAAGTGCTGGCATTCTGTACAGTGTTCTGCATCATGCTTTTTAAAATGCCACGCCACAGCATCCTCATCCTGTTTAGGCTGCAGCGTATCCCATTGTGTGAATATACCACAGTTAGATTTAACGGGTCCCTGTAGACGGAACTTGGTGTTTTTCTAGTTTCTTGCTATTACAAACAATACCACAATGGACAACTTGTAAGTATCTCACTTCAGACGTGGGCAGGTGTATCTCTATGGTCGCGTTCCAGAGTGAGATTGTGGGTCAGAGGTTAAATGAACGTGTAATTTTGCCAAGTTTCTCCCATAAGGGTTGTGCCATTTTGCATTCCTATGATTAATGGACAGGAGTCCCTTTTCCCCCTACTGTTTCATCAGCAGAAGCTTCTCAAGCTTCTGGATTGTTGTTAATGCTGATAGGTAAGGAGTACATTCTCAGCACAGTTTGGGGGGCGGGGAGAAGGAGCATGTTGGGAACCTCTTGGTGTCCAGACATTACTTTATACACAGCAGCAGATGCTCAACAGTGTTATTTAGTAAAAACAAAAGGGCCACCAGCTTTTTCATGTTTACTTGAAATGTAATTTTTAATTTTATTTTTTTAAATTAACAAACAGTGAAATTGACTTTTGGGTGCATGGTTCTGTGGATTTTAACACATGTATAGATTTGAGCCACCAGCACCACAATACAGAACAGTTTCATCCCCCCAAAAGCTCCCTCCTCCCTCTGCCTGTCCCTTTGTAGTCCCCCCACTCCTAGACCCTAGCAACCACTGATCTGTTCTCCATCGCTATAGTTATATCTTTTAGAGAATGTCATATAAATAGAACCATACAGTATGTAACCCTTGGAGATAGGCTTTTTCCGTTCAGCATAGTTTCCTGGAGATTTCATCCAAGCTGTTGCATGCATCCGTAGCGTGTTGCTTTTTATTGCTGAGAAGTATTCCATTATATGAAGGTAACACAGTCTATTCACCCATCACTGGCTGAATGGCATTGGGATTGTTGCCAGTTTTTGGTGATTATTAGTAGCACTGCTCTAAACATTCACGTACCAATTTTTATGTGAACATAAGTTTTAATTTCTCCTCAGCACAGTTTAGTTTCCACTTCTTATTATGAGTAAGTTTAGGTATATGTTCATATGTTTAAAAGGTATCCAGGGGCGAGCCTGGTGGTGCAGTGGTTCAGTGCCCATGCTCCACTGCAGCGGCCCGGGGTTTGCAGGTTCAGATCCTGGGTGCGCACCAACACACCGCTTGTCAAGCCATGCTGTGGCAGCGTCCCATATAAAGTAGAGGAAGATGGGCACAGATGTTAGCCCAGGGCCAGTCTTCCTCAGCAAAAAGAGGAGGATTGGCAGCAGATGGTAGCTCAGGGCTGATCTTCCTCACAAAAAAATAAATAAATAAATAAAAACTGTTTTAAAAAAAAAAAAAGGATTAATTAGGGGCCGGCCCAGTGGTGCAAGTGGTTAAGTGCGTGTGCTCTGCTGTGGTGGCCCGGGGTTCACCGGATCGGATCTCGGGCGCGCACTGATGCACCGCTTGTTAAACCATGCTGTGGCGGCGTCCCATATAAAGTAGAGGAAGATGGGCATGGATGTTAGCCCAGTCTTCCTCAGCAAAAAGAAAGAGGAGGATTGGCAGATGTTAGCTCAGGGCCTATCTTCCTCACACACACACAAAAAAAGGATTAATTAAATCAAGATGGCACATCCACTCACTGAAATTGTATGCACACTGTTTGAAATTCCATCTCTGAAGACGGATTGGTAGTGTCGAGATCTGGCACCACCACATCCAAAATGTGTTCTCAAACCACCCCAAATAAACATATCCTGTAAGTAACGTTGGTGTGCTTGCTGTGTGAATGTGGCTCCCCCAGACGCTAGCTTCCTTCTCCAGCCCCACTGCCTGCCAAGAAGGGATGGTGCCACCTCTGGGAAGATTATGAAAATACTTGTGATATAATATTAAATCGAAAATAATAGAAGATTGAAGGAACATGTGATTATAGCTATGCATTAAGAAAACAAATACAGAATTCATTCCAAAAGACAGAAAAACTGGAAGAAAATACAAAATGTGTACAGCGTGATTGTTGTTTGTATTTTTCCAATGTTCAAGTTTTTACTTTACTTTTTTATTTTATTTTTTTTTATAACGAGGTTTTTATTTATTTATTTTCCCCAAAGCCCCAGTAGATAGTTGTACGTCATAGCTGCACATCCTTCTAGTTGCTGTATGTGGGACGCGGCCTCAGCATGGCCGGAGAAGCGGTGCGTCGGTGCGCGCCAGGGATCTGAACCTGGGCCGCCAGCAGCGGAGCGCGCGCACTTCACCGCTAAGCCACGGGGCCGGCCCTACTTTACTTTTTGAAACCTGTATTATAAAATAAAGCAATGTAAAAATTGTATTTTAAATATCAAATCAACCATATTTGACTCAAAATTACACCTGTTTACAGGGAAGAACTCATTGGCTTACATCATTCTTTTCTCTTCTTCCACAGGATGTGCTGGGTGGTGTCCTGATCACCGTGGTCTTCATTGTCCTCACCTACCCTGCCTGGACCCTTATCGACCGCCTGGACTCTGCCAGCCCCCTCTTCCCTGTGTGTGTCATAGTGGTGCCGTTCTTCTTGTGTTACAATTACCCGGTGTCTGAATACTACAGCCCCTCCAGAGCAGATACCACCACCATTCTGGCCGCCGGGGCAGGGGTGACCATAGGATTCTGGATCAACCATTTCTTCCAGCTCATGTCCAAGCCCATTGAATCTTTCCCTGTTACTCAGAACATCCCACCACTCACCACTGACGTGTTTGTTTTGGGTCTGACCAAATTTACTGTGGGAATTGTGTTGATCCTCCTGGTTCGTCAACTTGTACAAAATCTCTCGCTGCAAGTATTATTCTCGTGGTTCAAGGTGGTCACCAGGAACAAGGAGGCCAGGCAGAGACTGGAGATCGAAGTACCTTACAAGTTTGTCACCTACACGTCTGTTGGCATCTGCGCTACAACCTTTGTGCCAATGCTGCACAAGTTTTTGGGATTACTCTGAGCCTCAAATGGTTGGAAATTAGCCCACTGGACATGAGAACCAAGACATAGGAAAGTTGTTGGGTGGGCAAGTCTTGACAACAGAGTTTTCTTTAAAAAAAAAAAAAAAAAAAAATCCTTGGGCCAGCCGGGTGGCATAGCAGTTAAGTGCGCGCACTCTGCTTAGTGGCTGGGGTTTGCGGGTTCAGATCCCAGGCGCGGACCGACGCACTGCTTGTCGAACCAATATAGGGTGTCCCATATAAAGTAGAGGAAGACAGGCACAGATGTTAGCCCAGGGCCAGTCTTCCTCAGCAAAAAGAGGAGGATTGGCAAGGGATATTAATTAGCTCAGGGCTGATCTTCGTCACAAAAAAGTAATAATAAAATCCTTAAGTCACATGTCTGTTTTGCTGCTGTCTGTGATAAATGCTACTGCTGTATGAAAGGAAAAATTATCTCACATGCACCATTCATCTGTAAGGGTCACGCTGCAGTGGAAGCTGGGCTAAAACCCAGAATCAAGTTCCTTAAGGGTTCCCCACCCTGTCTGTTACAGGCGCTTTGGGCCTTGTCATGGGCTGACAGGAATCGTGGCCTGGTTTAGGAACGGCCACCGGCCCCGCTGGGCTGTGGAGCGCCAACGGAGATGGGCAGGATCTGGGAGACTGGAGGTTGGACATTTCTTTTCAATTAAAACCTTGCCCAGCACTGAGTCTTACTCCCAAATTGGAACTTTGGTCAAGGAGAAAGGGTGGCACCATGTAAAACTGCATTCCTTGGACAGGATGACTGTCATTATGATCAAATTAGACTGTGCCTGCTTGGGTGGTTAAGAGCGCTGGAAACCTTACTGTGAGGTGATGAGGGCCGTGGCAAAGCTGTGCGATCATGGGGAAGAGCTTGCTTTCCCTGTGAGTCCCAGTCTCTGCTGGCGTGTGTGTTGAAACAGCGATCAGCTCCTCCTGGGTGTACATTTTGCAGGGTTCCAGGCACCATTACTCCAGTCTTCTGATCCATGAATCCAACCGGCTGCTCCCACCTCACCAGGTAGGTGGGGCTTAGCCTCCATGAAAAGCGGGCACGTAGGGGCTGGCCCCGTGGTGTAGTGGTTAAGTTCACGCGCTCCGCTTCGGTGGTCGTGTTTCGCAGCTTCAGATCCCAGGAGCAGACCTACACACTGCTTATCAAGCTGTGCTGTGGCAGGCGTACCACATATAAAACAGAGGAAGATGGGCACAGATGTTAGCTCAGGGCCAATCTTCCTCAGCAAAAAGAGGAGGATTGGCAGCAGATGTTAGCTCAAGGCTAATCTTCCTCACAAAAAAAAAAAAAAAAAAAGCAGGCACATCTGGGCTTCTCTGAGTGTCCCGCTCTCCCCTGCTTCAGAGTGACTTGGGACAAGCCCTCTGCCCATCTTCAACTTTCTTTGCTTCCTTACAAACTGGGAAGGCACTGTCGTCTGCCCGTGAAAGTGGGTCAATAGAAGAACAGATGAACTTCATCCTTCTCAGGTCCCGACAAGGAGGGAATGGGCCTCGTGGACATTTCCTGATCCTGACAAAGCCTCTCTGACATCGCTGTTCCATTTCTCAATTCCTTTCTGGAAATCTGTTTTCTCATCTACTAAACAGAATCAGGGGCTCCCTTTCCGTCTTCCCACTGCTTATCTCTTGGCAATTTTAAGGATAAAATTAATGCAAGAATAATGTCAGCCTCTCTTGGGAAAACAAGCTAACCAAACACAGCACCCTTTAAACTTTGGGCATGTCCTCGGCAGACTTAGGAAGGTGATCATTATGCAAACACACGCAAAGCTTCCCTCACAGTGCTCCTCTCCAGTTCTTAAGAATAAGGAACCAAGTGTGAACACTTTTCTTAAAAGTTAGTGTAAATATGTAGTTAACAGAGGATCTTTTGTGGTACAGTGCCTGAACCACAGAAGCCAATGATTTATAATCCTAACGCATCATCACCACGCACACGCACGCGCGCACGCGCGCGCACACACACACACACACACACACACACACACACTTTGGAAGAAAATTAGCCTGACTGAAAGTTAGGCTGGGCCGGCCTGGTGGTGCAAGTGGTTAAGTGCGTCGGCTCCGCTGAAGCAGCCCGGGGTTCGCCGGTTCGGATCCCGGGCGCGAACTGACACACTGCTTGGCAAGCCATGCTGTGGCAGCGTCCCATATAAAGTGGAGGAAGATGGGCATGGATGTTAGCCCAGGGCCAGTCTTCCTCAGAAAAAAAAAAAAAAAAAAAAGAGGAAGATTGGCAGATGTTAGCTCAGGGCTGATCTTCCTCACACACACAAAAAAAGGCTGTTACTCTGCATCCGTGTGAACACTGAGAACCCCATTTGTCCTGATTTCAATTCTGTACCCTGGTCTTCTTGTTGGGACCATCTTTGGTATTTGACTTAGTGCTCCAGTTTCTTGAGAAGAATAATTTTTAGTAAAACATCCTGTTTTTCCTTCACATTCTTCTCACATTTTGCATAGTTAGAAGGCAGGGATCAAAATGACCTGCCATTCGACTGTATCTCCATCAAACTCTGACGAGTATTTGTGGCACCATGATGGGGGGGGCATGGGGAGAGCCCCAGCTTATGGGCACTCCCCCGCTAGGCCCGTCCCTCCAATGCCATGAATTAGGCACTTCCCCATAGCTCGTCCACCAGCTGCCAAACCAGAGATGGCAGCCTGGATAATATTTAAACAAAATGATTTTCCTTGATTTTTCTGAATCCAACCGACAAAAGGATCAGCCTTTTCCACTTGTATCATTTGAAAAGAGGGGCTGTAATTATTGTCACAGCAGTAGGTGTTGGCAATTCATTCCTCTGTGTGTGTGTATAATTTTTACTGCTGTCCCTTTTAAGTCCCCAAAATAGGAAGTCAATCAGCTATATCAATGTATTTAAAGCTGTATTTACACAATTTGGGTTGAGAATGACTATATTAGCTATAGCACGTTAAAGAATGACCCAAGGATTTGTCACGGTTGATCACTTTTTAAAGTATCTTATTACAGCAACAGGAGAATATAAAGTATACATTGGTGAGGCCACGACTGCTCTGTGGCCTAGAATCAGGCAGAAGCTGATCGAAAAAATAATTACGTGGTTCACATTCCTGCTTTGCCAGCCCTCTTCATTCATTTCTCCCAAGGCACCTCACTCTATTGAACCCTCACATGGCTCAGTCACACTCGTACACACACCCCACATGCCCCTTCAAAGAGTACGCCTCCCATCTCCTTTAAGACTTTCGGAGATCTCTCTGGGGAAAGACTGCCCCCTGCTGGTGTAGCCTCAGACTTGGTCCAAAGCCCCTCTTGATCAGGAGTCTTGGAGATGAGGTATTTAAACGTCAAGCTCACCATGATGGATCCAACATAAGCTTAGGACCTGTGGTCTAGCCAACCCTGCATGTGGAAACCGTGACACCAAAGCCCTCAGGATGATTGGCCCCCTCCAGGAGCCAGGTAGAACGACACGCCCTTTTCCTGACCGTCCTCATCCTGCCCCCAGCCCACCACCACTCTGGGCCAGGGCATCCATCCTGTAACCATCATTCCAATCAGCTGTCATTTCATGCCAGTTCTGCTCAGACCTGCACCGTAACAGAATATGCAGAAGAGACCCTGAACTAAAATCCTTCAATGGCGGTGGCCGAAACCACTCCACAACATGCCTGATGGTTGCACATGGAGTTTTCTCACCCAAATAGGCAACTCATGCTTCCCCAGTGTAATCAAAGCATGTGGTGTTTCCGGGCCATATGCTCCAGGTTTCTATTTTGGGAACTTTCAGCTGTCTTGCTTATGTACTGTATGTAAATGTATTCTTTTTAAAACAAAATCATTTTTGTTTGATTCTGACTTCCTATTAAATGCTTTAAAAGCCAGTGTTCTACTTCCTTGGACTTTTTTTCCCTAGACCTTTCTCTAAGGGTTCATTGGATCTGAGTTGAAAAGAGGCAGCAAAATAAATGGCCGGCTGTGTCATTCTCTGTCACTGTCATAATTCAACCACGTGCAAATGTTGGTGAGTGTCCCTACAGCCACAGGTGTGATTGACAGGAAGGAAGAGGTATGTATGATTGCATGCTTCAATAACCTCCTTCAACTCCTCGATACAAAAGAGCATCCTTTTACCATATCCAGAGACAAATGTTACTGTGTGTTGAAAGGTAAGTTATAGGTATTGCTAGTTAAGATAACTAAAAGATTTTTCACAGATGAGTACACTATGCTGAACCAAATGAACACGACCCTATTTCACGTTCACATCATGGCAATGATATGTTCTGCCTTTAAGTGTCCCAAATTTGCTATTTGAAATGGTACAGAAAGCTGACACTCTTATTTGCAAAGCCAAGGATTTAATAGCCAATATGCTGGGCACCATGGGCGTGGGAAGCTGGATGAGACCCAGTCTTCCCTGGGGAGTTCTCTTGGGAGAGAGGAGACATGGGCTCAGAGAATTACAGTTCAAGACCCAAAGGGTTAAGGCTGTAGAGAGAAGGTAACCCCGCCATAGGAATTGAGAGAAGTGGGTGTTCATCCCAGCTTGGGGGCTGCAGTGACTCAAGGAAAGCCCATGGAGAAGTCATGCATGAGCCAGGCTTAAAGAACGGATGGATGTGATTGGGAAGTAGGTACGAGATGATACTCCATGGCGAGGGCACAGTTGCCAGAGATGCTTCTCCAAACACCTCCAGCTCTTACAAGGAGAATCCAGATCAAACTCAAGTAGGAATGAGTTTGGAATGGTGGCGGGGGTGGAACAAAGGATGAGGAAGGGACTTTGATGTTGCAGAACCAAATCACAGGAACGGCAAAGAAGTGTGAGAAGCCCCTTAACTTCATTTCCTTGTGTCCATGTGGGAACATTCCAGAGGAGGCGACATCTAGAGGTGATTGATTTCATAGTCTCTTGTCATCATTCCTCGTTCCGATATTTAGCAGTCCGCAGTGGGCGCCTTCCCCTTCTGCCGTCCCTGAATTCGCATACACAGCTCCATTCCCATGTCCTCTTGTTCAGCTCTCAGCAGAGGTAACAGCAGCTAGAGACTCAGTCTGTGTCCTTGGTGCCCTCCTTCCCTCCCCCTTTGCTCAGTTCCCCAAACTAGTCCGTGAAACTTCATTTTAAATATATTTTAGGGGCCGGCCCAGTGGCTTAGTGGTTAAGTGCGCGCGCTCCGCTACTGGCGGCCCGGGTTCGGATCCCGGGCGCGCACCGACGCACCGCTTCTCTGGCCATGCTGAGGCCACGTCCCACATACAGCAACTAGAAGGATGTGCAACTATGACATACAACTATCTACTGGGGCTTTGGGGAAGAAAAAAAAAAAGGAGGAGGATTGGCAATAGATATTAGCTCAGAGCTGGTCTTCCTCAGCAAAAAGAGGAGGATTAGCATGGATGTTAGTTCAGGGCTGATCACCCTCACAAAAAATAAATAAATAAAAAAATAAAAACAAAATAAAAACAATATTTTACCATACTCCTGTCTCTCTGGGAGACCTGTAAATACTCCACGTCTCTCTCTAGTGATTATGAATGAAGCCCTGGTTCTCTAGTAAGAGGCTAATCAGGACCAAGTGGAATAGGGGTGAAAATGTATCTCGTTTTAGAGAACAGATGTTTTCCTAAAAGCTGCCTGTGTTTTGATTTTCTAAACTTGAATTTTAAGTGCACCGAGGGGTTTACTGTTTAAAAATCATGGCAATTCTTCATTACTGTAGACGTAAGGTCTATAACGGATTACATTGGATACACCAGGCATCCACTGTTTTCTTAAAGTGAGGCACACCTGTAGGACAGACTTGGCTATTAAGAAGAATAAGAATTGAATGTGGACCATGAATAGAACGTTAAATTCGTAAAACTGTAGCCACATGAGCCGAGGGAGCTACACAAAGCCAAAGATC